CCCCAAAACCCCAAAACCCCAAAACCCCATAACATAAAATTTAAAAGGATGTGTAAAATAGATTTTATTATGATTAGTTGCATATATGTTTATTAATATTAATTATAATTAGTTAATCCAAGACGATGGAATCAATTTTTGAATGTGGGGTTTGTTTTAAGTCCTATAATCACTCAGAAAAGAAGCCTCTTTCGCTTCCCTGCGGTCACACATTTTGCTTAGAGTGCTTGAAATAAATAAATAAACACAACATTATAAAGTGCCCATTTGACAAGATAGCACATCATCAAATTGCCGAAAATCTCCCAGTGAACTACGCAGTTTTGACGGCTCTTCCGATGTCGTCTCAGACACCAGGAACAGGCGATGGTAGTGGTCAAAAGTAATAAAACTTCACAATGTGTGATTTACATAAGAATAAAAAAGTAAAGTTCTATTGCAAGAGCGATTAAGAAATGTTTTGCTCGAAGTGTGTACTTAAGCATACAAATGCCAAGCACGAAGTAATGCCCTGCTCTTACAAAAGTAAGTATTATCATCATGTGAATCTCACTTATTAAAACGTTTTTTATGGATACTTATCTATTGCATAATTGCCTTTCCATCCTAATACATTTGATTTTTAACACTGCTTCATTTAGTAATGGATATGAAAAGATTGATAAAAGAAATGCTAGAAGAAGTTGAAGTTGTTGATAGAAATAATAATGTTTGTGAAGAATTATACGGTAAACTTGAATAAAAAGTTAAAAAGAAGTTCCATGAAGAAGTTGAGAGACTTGAGAAATCTTTCCGCAGAATCATAGAGCAACTGGAAATTCAGTAGCAAAATCTATATACAATGATGAAGGAGTAAATTGATAAAGAACTAAAGTGTCTAACAGAGAAGAAAAAGAAAGTTAAGGAAAGAGATGATTCCATAATCACAAATAGGGCAGATCTAAGTCAGGCCTTGGGTAACATGGAACACTATAGTGATGACATGACTTTCAACACATACTATGAGAGAAAGAAGAGAGACCTCAAGGTACTAAGTGTGCTGAACGATTTCATAAAGCCAAACCCATATTTTGTCTACTACATGTTCAAAGATTCAATACATGTTGATGATTATGGGTCAATCAAAGAAACTCTATTTAAATTCCCCTAAATGACAAGAGTACGTATTCAACTCAAAGATTAACCCAATTTTTTAGAATCAAACAAATCAAGCAAATATTTACCTATTCGGCGATGATGTCAACTCTAAGATCTCGTTATGCTACGACATAAATGAGGACGAGTGGACTATGAAGAAACTCCCAGAAACGTCATAATAGAAATTCTATTAATGTTCAGCAGCTATTGCTATATTACCTAATGAAATCCTGATTACTGGTGGTGGCTCCCCACCGAAGAAGGATACGAGACTTTACTTGACTTCCAGAAATGACATTATACCTAAAGCTATGATGAATGAAAGCAGAAACGCTCATGCAATAACACTTTGCAAGGGGTCAGTATTTGTCTTAGGAGGCTTTTCAGGCAAATAAAGACTAAATTCTGTCGAAAGATACTCTATTAAGGAAGATAAATGGTCTCAGATGGCCCCCATGAAGGATAAGAGGCATTACCTAAGTGCTTGTGCTGTAAATGACGAATTCATCTACGCTTTCGGTGGCTTCTTTGGAAGCACGGAGCAAGAAATTAATGATTCAATTGAAGTCTATGAAGTAGAGAAGAATACTTGGTCAGTTCTCACAGTAAGGATGAAGAATGCACTCTGGGCTTGCAGTGCTCTGGCTATTTCACCAAATGAAATAATTCTTATCGGAGGAAAGAATACTAATAGAAATGGAGAGGTTAATCTCTTCAATATTTAGAATAAATCATGGAAATAGCTCCATAATATGAATCAATTGAGAGTGTCTCACAAATCATTCTATCTCCAGTAAGTCGATTCGCCAATTTAAAACTTTTATATGCCCCATTTTTCTGCGATTTATTAATAACCTTTATAGGGGTAAGATTTATGTAATTGGAGGTGACTATGAAATGAGTTGTGAGGTCTATGATCTCAAGGAAAACAAATGGAGTTTCATTAGCTCTTATAATTCCTTATTAGGAAATTCTCTGTATTCTTTCTCCTCTGCTATGGCTGTCCAGGAATGATAAGACTTTTAAAATAATATATGATTCTTATTATATTTCTTCAAATAGATAAATAAAACTTTTAATTAAATTTTCTTACGGGGTTTTGGGGTTTTGGGGTTTTGGGG